TTTTTTTTTATTTTATTATTATTAAGATAAAAGCTCAGGAACAATATTTGAAGCTTGGAGCAGAAACCTGTTCCAAACCCATCACGGTGCTGCACCACTCCGGTGCGCCGGCGCTTCCAACAAGGCTCAGCATGTTCAGGGTAAGGTCAGTGCAGGCACTTGCTTGGTTTTGGGGGTATTTGCTTGGTTTTGGGGGTATTTGCTTGGTTTTGGAGGTGTTTGCTTGGTTTTGGAGGTGTTTGCTTGGTTTTGGAGGTGTTTGCTTGGTTTGGGGGGGTGTTTGCTTGGTTTTGGGGGATGTTTGCTTGGTTTTCATGCTTGCTCACTTGCTTTTTTCCCTCTTTTCGGCAGGGAACCGACGCCGCGGATGCCCTAGCAGAAGGACGGCCGGCTGGGGTTGTAGCTGGGGTGGAAGTTGAGGCGGTCGCAGGCCGTGATGAAGTTGCCGGCTCCCGTCACGCGGCTCTTGTCCAGGTGGGTGTTGAGCCCGTTGTCCCGGTACATTCCGCAGGGCGCCAGCGTGCTGGAGAAGGCGTGCGAGGTGATGCGGTAGCAGGTCTGCAGGAAACAGCGAGACGGAAGTTGAGGCACCCATATAAATAACACCCATATAAATAACCATATAAATAACACCCGTCACACACGGGTAAAACAGCGAGGGCCCTTCGTCTCCAGGCACTCGGGGCAGTGTGTTGTCATAGGGTGTCGCAGAGGCCAAAAATGGATTGAATCCTAGAACCGTTACGGTTGGAAAAGACCTTCCAGATCATTGAGTCCAACCGTAAAATCGAGGATGGTTCAGAGCCTATGCCCTGAAAAATGAATTTCATCTGTTCACGAACCTTCCGCATTGACTGCTGCCCTGGAGTGAGAGCAAAACCCTCAAACCCGCCCAGAGCCCAAAACCATCCTCCCCATTGCACTTTTTGTGCAGCATAAGCATGGAGGAATTCGCCTAGAAATACTTTGTACTTCTGGTGATAGCATTCGGCAGCAAAAGTCCCACAAGGAAGAATTCTCCTGGCTTTTACGTGGAAGAAAGGAGATTTTTACCCTGTTAAACATAAGCCCATTCCAGCCTAAGACCTAAGTGATGGAAACTGTACTGATAACCCAATTTTTCTTGTCTATCTTATCCTCTCAGGTAAAACCTTAGCAGAGCCTCTGCTAAGCGTGATACCAAAAGCAAGAAAAGACCTTGCCTGCGTGTATGTGTAAAAGCTGCAATTGCTACCACAGATGGACAGCTAGTATTAGCTGGATGGTGGTGTTTAGGTATATAGACTTAAAAAATCCAGAGATTTTAAGAAAAGAGGAATCATTGCACTCAACTAAGCACTAAGCAACTAAAGTAACTCGGAGAGAAGCCTGAAAGAGGCTTTTCCCGGCGGCGGGTGCCCACGTACCGGCATCTCGTGCACCGTGGGCGCTCTGCTGCCGTAGCTCTGGTTGCTGGTCCTGTACAGCGGGTGAGGCTCCTTTTTCCTAAGGGACAGGACATTAAGCCCGGAGCACGGACACCCGTCGGGATCGCGGGGTCGGGATCGCACCGGTAGCCCTGGAAGCGCGCGGGGTGCTCGAAGCGGGGCGGCAGCCGCTCGCTCACGCCGTAGAAGTCGCTGG